TTCTTACTGCTGTCTTTCAGCCATACCCCTGATCTTCGGGTAGGAAAGATCTACACCTAGCCTTCTCGGACAAGGGCAAAAAATCCCGGAGGTCCCGTGTCCAAGTTGCGCCTATTAAAGATCCCTTGGTGGTCCAAAAATCGATTAGAGTAAGCTTAGCCGCCACCCGAACAAAACTCAAAATTTCCTACCAACGGAAAATGTTAGGTGTGTCCCGCGCGCTCATATGACCTTATGTAGTTGCGAGCGCCGTAAAACACTTACCAAAAAAAGGAGAAAAAAAGAGGAACACTTTGTTGCCTTGAAGGAGGTTGGCGGGTGCTCTGATGTGGTTTGCTCCTTCTTTCCTATTATTGTTGTCCTGATCTCTTCCTCCTATTTTGTGTTTTTTTACTCTCTTGCAACACATCTAATCTTCTACACTAAGTCTTATTGTGTTGTAAGTGCCGTAAAACTCACTTTTTAAAAATTATTATAGCCTATTTAAATTTAAAAAAACCTTTGACCTTTGTTAAGAGGATATTATATTCATAATATTCCTGAAGTGATGCAAAACATTAAGACTCTACTAAAGATATTAACCCTGAGCATTTGTCAAATTCATCAACTGATATCTGCGGCTAGGCTTTTGAGCTGCTGTCTCAGCTTACTATAATAGGAGAGGCATCGTGGTCAAATCACGCGCTCGTCAAAATAATGAAATCAAAGAAACCGATCTTTTCCGCCAGTTAGTCAATTTTTATCGAATTTCTGTTGTTTGTCTCAACACATTTTTCGTCCATTTATCTCGGTGAGGATTTACTGAAAAACGTTAATTAAAGACACAAAAGTGTACATTTTCAGTTTCTAAGGACTCTCTTCTAGCTATAGAAAGCAGCAAACTTTAACAGCCATTTTTTTCCTTTGAAACCAGAAGACCCCCACCCCCTTTAGTTTCAAATATCTCGACTTCAATTCAAGATAGATGGATATTCATTTCACTGAAAGCAAGACAAATGAACAAGCTATAAGGTAATACCAATAACTCCTTATGTGCAAAAATTGACGAGCGTCTGATGCCAACGTGTCGTGACTCATTAGTTTAATTTTTGTTTTTCTTATGCTTTCATTCATTTATATATGTATGTGTGTGTATATATATATA